TAGCCAGGTACCAGTCAGTTCTAATGTGGCTACCAGAGTTCTACTGTAGCAGCCGCCTAACACAGTTATAAAGTAACAGTCGCCGAGTTGAAACATAGCAGCCGTCGCGGAGAGAAGAACCGGACGTGTGAGTGATTGTGTAATTGGGAGCGTGCGATACAGTGATACAAAGCTCCCCTACTGTAAACGTGTATACTACTGAACACAGAGTGAACTGATTTGCGCATAGGGTTATAAATCGTGAAACCCCGCAACAGTGTCGACAGATTAATGCGATTAGGGTTATAAAGTGTGAAACCCCGCAACTGTGAGATAAGTAATTGTAGCCGTATTTGTAGATTGTTAAATAAACCAATTAACCATCTCTACGGCGTCTTCAGTAACGCAAAACACGTTACAATATATATGGAAAACCATTTCATAATTTCATTTTAACAAAAGGAATTTTAGTTCACTTGACAAATATTTGTCTTCAGTTTAACATAATGTAGAGTTTTCAATGTGTTTCACGCTGGTAACTAAGATGTAGTGGGTTTGCACTCCTGATTGAGGCTTTTGTGGTTTTTCTCATTTTCCTTACGATGATACCTTAAAATAAGACAAGCTTTTGATTTGTTTCATCCTGGTCCTTCACACTAACAATACTATAGAAGTTTAATTAATTCTGTCCTTTGTGTCTGATTGAGTTTTTTTCCTTTTTAATCTTTTATGCTTTACATGTTTCGGTCTTATAGACCACCTTCAGAAGGATATCAGTACAGTTAATAACAACACAGCACGCCTCGAACATCAACAGGACGACACTAAAGAATCCTCTTCTCAAAACAACAGAACCACAAGGCGGTACATGCTTGACTTCCTTCAAAGAGAAGAAATAAAAAGGACATGAACTTGGTTTAAAAAATGTTAACAAAATCTTTTTAAACATACTAATTGTAATTTATAAATATTTTAACGTATTAGTACTAGCTGCTGTAGTTAAAAACATTAGATTTGTACTCAGTGTATTATGATAACATTGTATGTATATTTTAGCATTCACAAAACATACTGTAATAGTGGTTTCTAACTGTATTGGTGTCCTTCTGAAGATGGTCTGTAAGACTGAAACATGCAAAGGATAAAAGATTAAAAAGGAAAAAACTCCCATCAGTCACACTGGACAGAATTAATTAACCTTTTACAAGGCAAGCTTCTTCCCTGTCCTTTCTAGTACATCATTCGCAATCATCCTGCCATTCTGACATCGCACATGATAAAGTGTTAATTAAATAAATATTCTTAAAATCACAAAAACACAACATGTTCAATAAAGAACATTTATCCAAATTCACAACACGTTCAATAAAGAACATTTATCCAAATTAGCACCCGCACTTCTAATTGTCCCTGTGCAACTTTGTTGATGTATTAAAATTCACACTTCAGAAGCATTTGTCTGTTCCTATAATTCGAACACTACATGTTTCGGTTCAACTGGCCATCATCACGTGTACAAGTTATAGAGGAAATTACTGCACTGTTGTCATGCTGGTACATTTTACATTTTAAAGGTGTAAAATAACAGAATGTTTTAAAATATCATGCCATAATTATTTTATCATATGAATGTGTTGTGGGTCTGTTGTATATTCTGTATAGAAGAGCTACACACAGCACCAAAGAAAAACCATCACCAAAATATGATGAAAGTCGAATAACACTGGAATATTTTAACTTAAGAACTAATGCAGTGTAGCAACTTCAACAAATGAACAGTTGCCTGAAGATGGCAAAGTATGGGCAAAACATATAGCAGGTTAATTTTAATTTTAGTATTATTTTAAGTTAAGGAATCTTTGTAAAGTTGCATTAAAGACAGAAGGGTGTAAAGTGCTTCAATCACACATTTTTATAAAACACTAGAACCATCAGCCTCAGCACTCGGCACTTTTAAAAAGTAATATGTGGCATAACAAGTAATACACCCATGGATGTGTTTTGGCAAATGAAGAGTTATAATGTATAATGATGACAGATAGACAAAAAAAAAAGTAGCTTCATATGAAGTATAAACTTTACAACTCGGATAAGTGATGTAGAGATTACTAAAGTTTGAAACTGAAACAGAATAATTTCTGATGTGGTCATACTGTTTCTCAGGATACACATCTCAGCCTTGCAGGAGGCCAGCATGAAAGCATTCAGTCCATTCCATCTTACTATTTGTCTAAGGCGGGACATGGCTCAGCCAGAGATGTCAGGCATGTGAAACCACCATGGAAATGAAGAAGTGCACTAAGGTATTAAGAGAAATCTTAATTTATGTATGTTTATAAGATTATGTCGGGTCTGTCTTGTTCAGAATTTGAAAAATGAATTGTTGAATGCTTTCAGATGTATATATAAACATGATAATAGGAACCAACCCCCAAAATTAAAATCACTAAAAATAAATGTGAGTAACATGGTGGATCTTAATCTGTAGTATGAATTAATGTATAGCAAAGGTGCCATGAGACCAAATCATGTTCTCAGTAAAAACAAAACCATTTCAAACAATTCATGAAGAAGTGTAGTGAAGCATAATAAAATACACCTTATTCTTTGTTTCAACGTTGTTTAGAATCCAGATCTCTTAACATATTGTTTACAGAGAGAGTGTGTGTGTGTGTGTGTGTGTATGTATGTGTATACGTACATGTGTATGTGCGTGCATGTGTGGGGGAGAGAGAGAGAGCAGTATTTGGCTCTAAGCCTGTGGAACCAAGGCACAGAAGCCAAGGAGCATATGACATTGCATATGTGGGTAGGTTGTATGTTTAGCATTAAGATTGAGAAGAAATGTGAATGTTCCTATGAAGACTGACAATTGTTTGTGTGAGATTATAGTTCTACTACATTCTAGTTCAAGGATAAGTAGTGGGCATGTACCATACCTTTGTTATTTTTGGTAACAGATATTTCAGGATTAAAATTGCAGTGACTTCTCTAACATTAGGATCAATCCTTTTTCACTGCATGCTACTTAATTTTTATCATTGCATCTGGCTTGGAAGTAAAAAAAAAAATAGATAAAGCTGTCCTTGTAACAGGCTGTGGAGACCGACAGGGTTGTGAGACGTCAAGGCTCCCACATTTTCTAGACAGTCGGCTCACAGATGGCAGTGAGGTTGTCAGCCTTACATACTAGCTCTTATACAGTCCAGTATATGGTAGTTTCAAAAAAGTGGAAAGGAAAACTGTCCCCCCCCCCAAAAAAAAAGCAACCAGCGATTATCAAGAATTATGATGTGCCCATGAGAGGTGAGGTACATCATCATGGTTGGCTTTTGATATGCAACTTCAGTTCATGGTAAGGAATTTCAGTAGCCATTATTTGTACAAATAACTGACATGTCCTGTGTCAGGGCTTTGATCATTTATAGACTTCATTCATGGAGATGGTTTTGCTGGCCATGCAGGATTTTTGAAGTTGTATAGTGATCTGATACTGTTTTCATGGAATGTGAAGGTTCATTGCCATATCACAAGACCTTCACTGGTCATCCTTGTCCTGAACTGCACAAATCCATTCAGTACTATATTCCATTTTATTAAAGACATTAATTTTCCCATCTGCATCCAGTCTCTCAGGTGGGTTCTTCACTTAATGTTTTTTCCTACTACATTTTATATTGTAACGTGTTTCGTTACTGAATACGCCGAAGAGATCGTTAATTGGTTTATTGAACAATCTACAAATATCGGCTACAATTAATTATCACAATGTTACGGGTTTCCACACTTTACAAACCCTAGAACAAAATCTCTTAACACTCTCTTCGAGAGTCTTCACTTATTAATAACGCGGGAGCTATACACGTCTCCCTGAATTACACACTCCGAATATAACTGGTGATCACTGGTTATCGCACACGCGTCTGTAGCTCGTAACTTGCGAACTGAGAACTCGTTGGTAACGCACTGACTGGCTGACTGTCACAGTACAACTGACTGTGAATAGCCTTCGCTGCTCCTTATGTAGCCTCGATCGGACAATACGGCCACGTAATAGGCACCCTTGTTGCCTGGCGCTGTGTTGCTAGTAACGCTAGCGGAAGTAACCGCTGTTACTACCGTAACAATCCTGTTGCGTCACCGTTACTTTACCGTGCGGAGGAGGGGGAGGGGAGCGCTGACTCACCCGCCGTGTCACTGCTGGTGGGGGGGGGGGTTCTCCTTTGCGCAACATGTCACAATATGTATTTCTCATCTGCCCCATGCATAGCTAGTATCCCACCCCTTCCATCCTCCTTGATTTGATGACTAACAAAATTTGAAGATTACAAATTATGAAGATCCTCACTGTGCAGTTTTCTCCAATCTCTTGTTCCTGTCTTGGTTCCAGACATTCTCTCAGAAATCCCCAATCTTCTTTCATCATTTAATATGAGAGATAAAGTTTTGGACCCACATAAAACATCAGATAAAATTATAGTTTTGTAATTTTAATCTCTGCATCTTTAGATTGAAAACAAGAAGATAAACAATTGAGAACTTTAAGCAGCAAGCAATTAATCTGCTCATAATTTCTTCATGAATATCACGATTTTGGCCTGCAACCTGGAGACAAGGCATGAACATATATACTTCACTAGAGTCATCTGATACAGTGAGAATTTAATAGTGCTTTCATTAGCTTTAGAAATACTATTCTCATATCATCGATACCACAATTTGACAAAACGCGGATTTTTCCTTATCCTCCTAACTTATTATTGGAAAAATCTGAACGTATTACTGTTATTTATAATTTTCAATTGCCCTAATTCTTCCAGCTGCGTAGTGGCTCTGGGATTGACTCAATGTCTTAACAGAAATGAATACCAGGTATCTTCCTGGGAGTCAAGGGCCGCTGGCACGTAAGGCAGACAACCTCGTCACCATCTATGAGCTGATTGACTAGAAAATGTGGGAGTCTTGACATCACACAACCCTATGGGCCTTTATGGCCTGTTACAGGGATAGCTTCATCTTTTACCCTAATTACATGTTATATAGTATACTTGAAGGTAAGACTTAATGTGTTGTAACAAATTGAATAAAACTTCCCAGACAGAAAAGAGAATGCCAGTAAAAATTTTATTCTGACAATATATTCATTACATTTTTAATGTTATACCACTCAGTATTGTGCATTGTTGTTCAAAATACAAAAATAAGTTACCAAAAATAAATTCATATTAAGAGATAAAACTTATCCATTAAAATGAAAATTATCAGAATCAACACCTTGCACTTACCAATGAACGATCTGTACATTTTCCAACAATTAAAAGTACTTGTACAGCAGCAACATAACCAAGTTTGGAAGGATTCAAAATAAACTAATAGTGGAAGGGTCTTGCTTTCCTCCTTAAAATGTGTACCAAATTAACCTGGTTTGATGTATTTGGGTGACAGTCTTTTGCTGCCAGAAGTGTCATTACATGACTGCTTCATATTCATCCTTGGTCAGGACACCAGGTATCATGTGGAAGGTTGTGTTATGGTTTTCCTCAGTCCCTCCAAGCAAGTGGTGGGTTATCTTCCATTAGACTGCAGTCATTCTTTTTCACATCTTTTGCTATCTGTTATTCACTAATTGTATTATTCAATAGTACACAGTGTGAACTACTGACAGAGTCATTACATACAGTATAATCCCAGTCATCTTGGTTGCTGCTAACTGGTGCCCCTTTTCCAGCCAGTCATGCCCCTGTGAACCACCTGCTAAGTTTGCCTAGTTCATTCATATGTCTGTCAGTACACATGAAACAACTTGAGGGTGATTTCAGTATTTTGTATTGGAGAATTTTATGAAAAATTTTCGAGCCATTTTAACTCTCTCTTAAATAAGACACTCTTTTCCCCTTCATTGGCATGCGTAATCAGGAATAATGCTGTGTATCACAAAAAAAAATGCTGGGAACTTCAAATTCAGAATTTAAAAACAGCTGGTCATATAGTAGGGTTTCAGAAATGTAAAGAAAGTACTTAACCCATTGGCATGAATATTTAAGAAGCAATAATCTTCAAATAATTGCTGGTTTTCTTTCCTATATTTTTAGTTCAACATGAACTTCATTCTTATATGTCATATTATTACAGTTGTTCATTCAGTTTTGTGGTTCTTGAATATCGTTTTCTAATGTGTTACTGTTACTTCTAACAAATGTTTTCCTATTTCATACTTAATCCTTCCTATAAAAATATTAGTTATGGTCAGAGCAGTGAAATCATGAACCACTGTTCAGTTCCTATCATAAAGGTCTCTAAACAAATAGACCATCTTCACTGTACATCGGACTGACGTCAATTAGAAACCACGCTTCTGGGCAGAGCTCATAAAGCTTAATTTCCTGCTGCACAGATTTCCAGTGCTACATGTTTTGTGTTGTTAATGTTGTATCTAGATATTGTAAATTTATAATTCATCAGTGCAATTTAGCTCTGAACTCATGCATACATTATAAAATCACATCCTACTTGAGTCAGACTTTAAATTGTATGCAATTATAAATATTCTGTTGTTACTTTTTTGGGTGATAACTTCTTAAGTACAGATTTTGTCTGCTTGTCTGTGTTATATTTTCCGGATATGTAAGTTCACGATTTACATTATCACCATGTAATTACTGACCTATAAACATTATTTCATATAGAATCTGTAGATATGTTTACGGCTAATCTGCATGCCAAATTTCATGTGCCTTACTTCAATGTCTCATTAGTTACCATTCTAAAATTGATATAAATTTCATGCAGCCTCCATGTTCCTTTATATTCTGCAGAAGAACTGTATATTATTCAAAGATTTGTTATATTTTAGGAACATGTATTAAATGACATACGTGTCACTCCCACCTGACAAGTTTGTGCATCTACCATGTTGCCATTATGCGTTACAGGAAATACACATACCAGATTTCATTAAAATTGGTCAGGTTAATTCAAAGGTTGAAATGTGGGACATACAGACATGTGACCCCATAAGAATGCTTCATTTCCTTAAGAAAGAGAGTGAACTAAAGCCATGAATGCATAAAAATGTAAACATTTCGCTATAACAAGCTGTGTAGGCCCATAGGGTTGTGAGATGTTGAGGCTCCCATATTTTCTAGACATTTAGCTCAAATGATGATGAGGTTGTCAGCCTTATATGTCAGCCACCTTTTACCCCCAGGAAGATTTCTGGTACTCATTTCTGTTAGAGGCTGAGTCAACCCCAGGACCACAGAGTGGCTGGAAGGATTAGGTCAATTGAAAAATCCAGTGACCTAATCAGGAATCGAACCTGCAATCTTCCAGCTTGTTGCATAGTGCCTCAGCCAACTATACTACTGCAAGCCCCTATGAATGCATAAAATGCATTAAAAATATTGTGACATGACGCATGAAAGCCGGAATAGTGGAGCCATTGCAGACGTCTATTGCTAGGCAATGGCTTGCTAAATGCATTCCTGCGACAATGAATATGCAAGCAACAATTGAAGACCTGCCATTTCTATGCAATGGCGAGGTAAGCACACCTCTGTAACAGTGGAGGAATTATTGGGAAATGTAGTTTTCTATGTGGTTCGTGCTGAAATGTTGTAAGCAGGACAGTTTGAAGCAACGAGTTGTCAGAAGAACTGAGAGAGCCTGCGGAGATGGCAGTTGAATGATTGAGAAGGTTGGCAAGAAAGGAATTAGGCTGTGGAAAGAAGGCATCATATGTGCTGCCATGATGGAGAAATCCTTTGCCTGGATACTAAAGACAGTGTCACGTAACTTCGAACACGGCCCCGCATTCCTAGTCAAATCCCACGCAGAGCTTGTGGTGGGAGGAGTTTCTTAAGACTCGTTCTTCCACTTTCACCCCCTTGTCTGAAATTTTTCTTCTGCGCATTCAAGGTTACTCTTGGCCTTATTCAAAGTTATGTGACACTTGCTATACTAGTGAAGACTGAAAACCGTAAAAAGGGAGAGAGTGCGTGCGTGCATGTGTGTAAGGTGCCAGTAAATTCAATCATCCAATCCAAAACCTGTCTATAGTCACAACCCTAACACATGACAATATTAAAGGCAAAAAAATTATATATAAATACTGTACTTATTTGTGTCCAATATGAGACAATCTTCCTACTTTGGAATCTGAATAAACAAGGGTAATCCTGAAGATTACTGTCCTTGGGAATGTGGCACCTGTAGTTTGATAGATTGTTCATAATATTTCAGAGGAACCTGTTGCCTCCATCTTCTGGGTAGAAAAGTAAGGCAAGCATGGAAAAAAATGGTACATGTAGGAGATGGGAAGGACTAGGACTGGGGCCCTGCCCTGAGCAAACCAGTTAGAGGGTCTTCTCATTGTATCCATATTGTTTTTGGATGCTCAGCTTACTCATTTACCATGGAGATCAAGGCAGCAGGTTCATCAAAAATATTACTAGTTTTACCAGACTACATGGCATCACATCCCAGAAGACAGCATCTTCATGGTCACTGCCATAAGAACCTCAGTCTCACAAGAGTATTCTTAAATTCACCTACTTATGATCAGTAATTTGCATTATGCAGTCAAGTTTTTAGGCTAGGAACAGCAAGATGAACAGATATGACATTACTTTCACAAAGTGATGCATACAGATGAAGACGTGCTACATAAACAATTGTGAGGCTACAAACATAAACATAGGTGTATGTATTCAATGAAATCAGATTATGTATTTTTGCATGAAGTGCACAAACTAATGACATGTTGTAGAGGATATTTTTGGGTGTTTGCATGTTATAACTGATGTACTGGAGGTGTTTAAAAAATTTTGTAATGGGGATGGAAGTCTATACTAAAAATGGCAAAGTGAATGTAACTTTAATTTGTATTGAATCAATTTTACCATCTCTCAAAAATAGCTGGTCATAACAAAAGGTCCCAACTACAGCCTTTCCTTTGATATTATATGGAACAAAACACAAAGAAAAATAAGGTGACTATGTTTAGTAGCTTTGCAGCAGTGCTGGTCACTGTTAAAGCCTAAATTGATTTCCAGATCTACGTTCCCTGAGTCATTCCAGGTTTTAAGTACATTATTCTCAAGCTGATTCAGTTAACTTCCAGAAATCAGACTCTTCATTACAACTGCTGTGAGAACCTCAAATCCAGTAAGGTAACTTCCGGTTCAGCATTGCCATCTGGATGGAAAAATATATTTGCATATGAAATAAAAGACATGAATCAGCAGTAAATAAAGGTCAAGAACACTTAATTTGAATGTTGGTAAAAAGAACTTTGCATGAATAAATATACGTACACATTAATTGGTCACTTTTTGCTGGCTAATTCAGTCCAATTCTCACAGTTGCATCAAATGAAAATTTTCATCAAAATAAAGCCAATGGGTTAAAATACTAGGCAAGATTGCTGTTAGGACAGGCTGCCCCAATTACAAACTCATGTACAGTCCTAAAACAAGCACATATAGTCACTGATGCTGATGTTCCTCCAAACCCATTCTCTCTCTCTCAAGGACAGCAGAGTGTGTAAATGTGCTGAGTATGTATTTCATTTCTTAGAATCCACTCATGCATTCTCCCAAATTTGCTCAAAGTAAAAGTAAATCATACTGACATTAATGTCATAATACAGCAATAATACATAACATGAAGCAAATGTACTTAAGTCTGGTACAATGCATTAAACTGTATCACATAAATATTTACAGTCTTGCTTTAAGAAGAGATCCTGTTGTTTCAGTCAGTGACAGTCTTAATTTTCATGCAGCCATAAAAACTTAACAGTACACACATTCATATTTTATACAAAATTGTATAAAAACAATGTAAAAATTAAACAAATGTAGTATGTTTTGGCACTACCAGCGTATAAATATAGTGGTATACCAAGTTCCTGCAGGCATTAAAAGTCACTGTTTCAGTCAGTTATGAAATATCAGTCCTTCATGCATAAATGTGACTGTTTTGTGGGGTCCATAAAACTAATGTACATTCTTCAAAACAAGTTCACTCTTGTATACATTTCTTATTTACACTGACAAACTCCGGTGCATTTATAATACAGTTCAAATGTTTATGTCGTGTGTAACCTTAGGTTAATAGGCAATGTTTGGTGCACAGTTCATTTTATGGATTTCCCATTGTTTCACACCATCACAGGGGTAGCATATGGTGATGATGGGGCATAGGAATGGCCATCATATGTTCAGAATACACTTGAACTTGTGTAAGAGGTAGAGAAGGCTGCAGTCTTGATTCGGAGGGCATGGACTGATGATGGGTTTGGTGAGGCGGATGTGGTTGTTGAGGCTGATGAGGATATGGTGCCATTAAGCTCACACCAGAACTTTCATTAGGGTCTACACTGTTAGCCAAACATGCCACAGGAATTGCTTGAGTTGGTAGAGCTTGTTGTGACAGTGGTGTATGACAGCTAACACTTCCTCTTCCATCTTCTTGTGGAACTTCCTCTGGCTGTTGTAATGGTATTAATCCTTCCTGATTATGTGTAACTACACGAGATGCAACAATTCCACCACCACCACCACGAGGATCAGTTTTATGCCTTCTCCGTGTATGTTTGAGCCAGTTGGGATAGTTTGTAAAAGTGCGTTCACAGAATTTACAAGCATATGGGCGTTCACCTGTGTGAATGTTGTAATGTTGCTGCAAGAAAACAGAACATGCAAAGAATAAAAATTACAGGCAGGCTTACAGGTGACATCAGTACTATCGCCTTATTCCTTGTCAGGGTACACAATATTACATGCTTCAAAAAACAGCAGCAGATAATTTCATTCCAAAGTACTGTTCACAAATGAAAACATTTTGCTTGCACCTGCAGAGCTCCTGTACAATTAGTGAAGTTGCAGCCAAACAACCAGGGTAACACTGAACTTTCTGGCTACTTCCCCCCAAGAAAGGAATTCTGGCAGTGCCTATGAACACTGTAACAAGGGTAAATGTGGTAATTGCACTTGTATCCATTATGTCATAAAATACCTTGAGTTTTGTGGTACTGAGGAAGCCCTTATTGCAGTATGTGCAGACATATGGCCGTGCCTCAGCATGTACCATAGCATGTACTTTTAGACAACGTTCTGTTTTGTACATCTTGAGACATATTGTGCATTGGAATGGACGTTTCTCACTGTGGAAACTGTAGTGACGGTTCAAATGTGACTTTTCTGCAAAGCTGTAACCACAGACAATAACTTAATTCCACAGTTTATATGAAACCACAATGAATTTATATCAAATTTTACATAAATACGTCATGTTTATTTTGTCATTTTCTTATTATGTAACTGAATTAAAACTTAGTATTCCTAAATTTACTGACCATTTGCCACACTTCTCACAGGCAAAGGGACGTTCACCTGTATGATGCTTCACATGCTGTTGCATATTCACTTTTTGTGTAAACGTCTTGCCACATACATCACACATGAATCTGCGACCCAGTTTATGTACATTTTGATGTGCTGTGAGGCCTCCTCGTGTATGAAGACTGGAAAGATAGTTGCATATTCTTTGGACCTACAGAATTTCTTAGACAAGAAGTTGTCATTATTCTATAATGGTGATGAATTTAATAATACAGACAACCTCTGGCCCACATAAGGGTTCCATTCAACAAGCCCTTAAGTAAAATTTTACATATATCAGAAATTACCAGAAGAATGTACATTTGTCATATTATATACTGTGATGGTAGTGAAACTAATCTAGCATTAACATTATGAGAGGATGCGATCTCAATAATGTGCACATACTCCACCACATAAATAGTATGCTTACTCACTAACATATATTTCTGCTTGCAACTTAAATTTACTTTCAGGGTCTACATAACTTGGAAAGGGTCAACTCTTGAAATCAAGAAAGAAGCATAAAGCTAAGCTTAACCTCCATTGTTACATTAGTATGTGACAGAGTGGTTCCTCAGCGCTAAATTACATTCTGTGGTCTTATTGTTCATCATCCCATCATCAGTCAAGGAACCATTTATAAATTGGCAGATCTATATCCATTATTACTATAAAAGGAATTGACATCCATATGTATTTACTCAAGGGCTTCTGAAATGTTTTCTTTCACTCAGAAATCATTTGAGTTTCATCGACATGTGATATGTTTGCAGACTGAAACAACAGATTAGTTTATTACAGTACTTATTTTAAGAATAGTCTGTGGCCTAAACATGAAGTAGTATATCAAACTAATCCTTAAGTGTCATTAAAAGAAAAGTACTGAATAAATGTGATCAATAATAATAAAACCTGAATAAAGTAATATTTGACAAATCAGGGATAACTGCTCAGATAGAAGTGAAGATTACTGAAGCAGAGAGGATAAAATAAAAATGTTACTCTCTGTCATCAAATTCATTAATCAAGATCTCTTCCTACAGGGAAATTATTAGTCTTTTACTTTTCACTCAACTTGAGGCATGTCTAATAAAATCTGTAATACTTTCAAATTCACCATGACAATGTCTTTTCTGTAATTATACTTACACTTTGCCACACTCCCCACATGGGTACTCCAGCTTTTCATCAGTCTTGTGCTTCTTGAGATGAATGTTCAGTCCAGGCCGGGTCACAAAACCCTTCCCACATTCCTCACAAATGAATGGTTTCACTGTTGTGTGTTTGGCTAGGATGTGTACATGAAGCATGCTTCGCAAACTAAAGCCCTTCTGACAGTACTCACATCTGCAGACAGAATTAGCATCTTTAACAATATGGTATTATGGTAATTTTTTTAATGTAGTTACTTTAAAACAGTGTTACATCACTAACTGCACAAGAAAACAGAGCTGAAGAATGCTACTTTGGTTTCAAATCTCATCATACCAAAAGAACTTTTTATAATTAAGAAAGGTAATGCCAAAAATCTTGTTCTGTATTTCAATCGTGCCTTTCCATGATTTTCACTAGTTCTTTCTTTCAGACTGTGGGAATTCAGTCATCAGACTATAGTCTGATGCAGGAGCAGTAAATAGGAGTGTTCAAGTTTAATTCAAGCAAGGGTTAAAATTATATGAACTTTGAAATTGAGTAATTTCCATGCTTTTTGCTAAGTTTGACTTAAATCTGAAATGTGAGTTCCCTACAAATTCTGAATTATTTATTTTATCTCAGTTTTCTGCAACCTGTTGTGCGTCAAGTACCAAAGGTATATTTATTGTCAATGGGACTCTCCTATTGGGTGCATTATTTTACTCAGGGAGTGAAAGTGTCAAACAGGAAGAATTATAAATTACATGGAGTTTGAAATGATGATTATAAATTACTTTGACAAGAAGCACATGCTGTGCTTTTTTTTTTCCTTGTATGTAAAATTATATTCTGAAGAGTAATATTTGCATACTTCATGAAACACCACTTTCAGACATGATTTCTGGGGTTAAGAGGAGCACAAATTATACTAGTAAACACAGTACCATTCCTTTAAATACTGCTATATTGACATTTATTTTAGATTAAATTCTTTTTTAAACAAAAGTATGCACTTTTAGTTTGAAAATACTTGCCTGTATCGGCCTTCGGTGACATGCCGATAACAGTGAGACCTGAAAGTGGAATACTTCTCCATTGTCTTGTTGCAGTATGAACATGTGTATATAGGTTTCTTGTCATATGAGCTACGGTAATGCCTATCAAACTGTGATTTGAATGGAAAAATTTGCTCACACTGGTTACATTTAATACCCCAGTGTGTCTTCCATTCTTCTTTTGCATTTTTATCTGCTTCATCATCAATTTCATCATCTTCTTCTTCCTCCTCTTCATCCCTGAGACCTACAAAGCAAAACAGCTTTTTTTAATTCAGTTTTATTATCCATGTAGCCAATTATGAATTGGCCAAGGTAATCATGCTTGCCTCGTACAAATCAATGAGAACATAAAATGATCCACAGTTTACGTAGCACAACTGTAATCTGAAGCATGTCTGAAGCAATTAAGACAGCAATGCCTTGTGCAGGGGCATTGTGTTCAGTCACAGATAAATATATCAACATACTTTAAAAAATAAGGAGAAAGAAATACCAAGGGTGATCTAAAAGTCACACAACCCACATAAATTATCCGACATGCACAGGAGCACCTGCTTCAACATTTCAGCTCCGAAGGAAACATTGTTCACAAAACATGACATCTTGCAGCTTTGCATTTTATAATGCCTATGGAGACCCACTGGCCCTACATCGTTTTCTTACATTCCAATTCATACAGTATGTAAGGAATGGTACTGCATTTAGTTTCAAGAACTTGTGCAAAAAGAAAATCCATCGTGACATATTTTGTAATCATGGTGGACAGAGGTCTATGGAAAAAAAAAATCTCTAAAACAGTTCCCTTAGCATACTTACGGGCATGTTAACACTAATTTATGATACCATCCTTTCAAAAAGCAACAGAGCCCATGAAATTACTAGATCTTAGAAGAACCTTGCATTTGTCATTTTCATAAGAGTCAGTAGATTAAGTATGTATTAATGGGAACTTGCATATCAAACCGAGCTATTACAGAATATAGAGATGCATTGTGGAGGTATTAATTTTCAGTCATTCATGTTCTGATGTTTTGATAAACGTGAGGTACCCATTCAAGTGAAAGAATACCTCAGTGAAACTGTATTCCATACAACTACCTCATTTAGATTAAATTATGAAGCACTCATAGTGTCCAATTCCTAGTCACATACTGTAAGTTCATATGCAACTTGGGCATCGTAAGCATGGACATTTTCCTGTTTCAGTCACAACTTATAACAAAGATTATTCAGAGTCACTTCTGGAGAATATTTTAAATTATATCAACATGACATATTTCCATTTAACAAAAAAGGGGCATACAGTATGCCTTTTATCACTATCACTGATTACAGTCCATAAATACTTAATCAGATCAGCAGTTACAGGGCTATTTGGCTTTTATATATAGGGAAACATAAGCCTGGTTTTGATGGAGGTTCTCACAGCAGTGAATGGTAAGATCGCATTTTTTAGATGTGATGCTGTGCAATGTGGTAGATAGGCACTAACATTCTGGAGGAACCTGTTGCCTCTACCTTGGGCCTAACTTTTCTCCGCCCAAAAGGCATTCTTCCTCTCTGACATTTAACTCACCACTAAATAAGAATATCAGCTTCTGAAGGTGATGTGCATTACTTCATGCATAAGGAGGAAGATTTCATCCACAGATGCCAAGTCTGTAATTACAGAGATGAGGAGAACTGCAGTTAAAAATAAATGTTTCATGTGGGTTGCATTACTTTCAGATCATCCTGCAGAAAATGATGAATTGTTTGTATTCCTTATCTGAGTTGCATAATAACAATGCTGGATCACATGAGAGCATACTACAAGAACTGGAAGCACACAAGCAATTACTGTTTTTCACAAAACATGAAATACCACATGCAATCCACATTATTGGCTTTCACCTGACAAGTTATTACACTCATGAAGATCACCTCCATATTCAGCATCCATTCTACACAATGGGCTTCAACAGAACTGTTTCTACCTATCAATCCTAAAGGGTTCTGAGGATGGAGTATCACCTTCATGATTACTGAGTTTCTGGACTCTGTCATATAGTATTCTAAAAAATACAGTGCCTTGGAAACTGGATCTCTTGAATCCTCGAATGAAAGGTACAGGAAAGTACATACTCAGTTTCGTCTGCTAAAAGAGCTGACCTCAGTTACTGGACAACCTAAGTCCATTAACTACAGAGTAGTTTTCTGTTAGACTGGTTCCAATGGCTCACACAGTACTCTTCTCACACAGATCCCAGATCCTCCCTGGTGGCCGGTAATTCACAGCCCACTTTTCCACTGTTGTTTAACTTACCTTATTTTACAGATGAGTCTCAAAGTGATGACCCTTTGCTCTTAAGTATACCTCACATCATGTGAATATGTTTCTAGACGCACATCAAAGCTGTTCTATGGGAATAATAGAATTCAACCATAATAATAATCTTAAAGTTTTTCCAGAGAGTGAATTGTTGATGTATATTTTATCTCTGAGCATGCTACATAAATGAATCGCAAAACTTAAATCAGGTGATTATGGAGGCCACAGTCCTCGACTCATAACTCATTTGCCAAAGACTTCACCTCATGCAGTGTGTGCCATTGCATTATTATACATAACATATCCATACAAGTTTTCTTCATCAGTCAGTTGATCAATAAAGGGTGACAGAATCAACCTCACACAAGATTTGGAATATGTTTTGTGAAAGAAAAAAAATTACAGGCCCAGTTAGCCTCTACACACTGACTACAAACACAACCGCAACTCTTAAATCATGCAATGGCATTTCATTAGCAGCATGCGGATTTTCTGTGCTCGTCTTATGTTATTTTGTTTATGTAACCATTTAAAGTTAACCATGTCTCATCAGAATAAGACGCATGATCTGGGTGAGTAAGTCCTTTGAATACCAATTCCCGAAACCAACTACTGTATGACATTCTTGCTTATCCATCTGGAAGAAAAAGGCAATGTATGGTTTTAGTTTTGTAAATCTGTAACCTTAGTAACTTTGTCCAACATGAGCTGTACTTTTTTCCAACCCACACTGAAGAGACAGATGACATACTGACTTCCTTTGGCTTGCTTCTTCTAAATCTGTCTGATTTTCTGGTGGGGGTTCAGTTTTGTTTAACTTATGGCACTGACAATAGGCGAGTATTGTTTAGCATGTAAATTTCAGTTTCCTTCTGCAATGTAGTTTCTGGGTTTAGTTTGATGTGTTTATTTTTGGCATCCTTCTCTTGGTTTTTGGTCTTTATGGACATTTCAGAGTTTTTTTTTAATTATCTCCCACTGACGTCTATTCCCAGATGAATGTGTGTACATACAGTCATGTAACTTACACCAACTAGTGATTGGGATCAGTTCTTTCTAATGGCCCTAACTGAAAAGACACCTCCACCCCACCCCCCCTTATCTGAGGATGTAAACATATCCATTTTCTAAAATGTTGTGTCCTTCCAAAAACTTGGTAATCCAGAGAATTTCTACATAGCTGAATATTTATTTTCTGCACTCTTTTTCATTGATTACAGACATGTTAGTTCTGTTGTGGATTTCATTTTTGGCTCTGATGAAACTGTGCTGGTAATCTGGACATTTACCTCCTTCAGTTCTACAGTCTCTTCCTAAGCCTCCTTTCCCCTATGTGTATCTGGTCAAGATATCCAATCCACAAACTGGGAACTATAGTTGTCAATATTGTCTTCATTTTCTTTCATATTTACATATTCTAGTTTTGTAATCATGCTTATAGTCTTCTCAAGTTGGCTGTTTAATGATGCTGTCAGTAGCGTTGATGACAGGGTGATTAATGAATATGTAGCAGCTGTTAAAATGAAAATTAGCAGGGAAAACCAAAGTACTTGGAGAATGCCAGTCTGAGTGCCATGTTATCCACCACAAATCCCATGCAATCTGACCTGGGATCAAACCAGGACCAGTGCAGTTGGAAGCGGACGACTAACTGCCTAAGCTATAGGAGAACCCTCGTGCTTGTAATAATTATGTTAGTTCATCTGATGAAGCAGATTGTATCTAATGTAAAGAGTCATTTAAATGTGGGGCATAACAGTCCTAGACGTGCATGATCTTCCCAGCTATAATGAAAATCTTCGAAGATCCAAACACTTATAGAATTGCATGTAAGAAATAATGTGCCACGTTATCCACCGCAAATCCTGTGCAGTCTGACCTGGGATCAAACCAGGGCCAGGGCAGTTGGAAGTGGGTGACTAACTGCCTAAAGTAGGGGTCGTGCCATAGCTCAAGCTGTTAGTTGCTGGCTTCCCACCGTGGCGACCTGGGTTTGATCCCTGGTCTGGTCAAGTGGGATTTGTGGTGGACAAAGTGGCACTGGGGCAGGTTTTCTCCGAGTACTTCAGTTTCTCCTGCCAATCTTCATTCCACCAATTGCTCCACAATCACCCTCGCCTATCATCTGGGGCTGGTACAATACGCCAGAAATGGCCGCAGTACAAGGGACTTAGTCCCACCCCACTAGCAATAAAAACAAATATTCCTGGTACTCATTTCTGTTAGAGGCTGAGTCAACCCCAGGGCCATAGTGCAGCTGGAAGGATTAGGTCAATTGAAAATAATGAAATGACCTCATCGGGACTAGAACCTGCGACCTTCTGGCTTGTAGCATAGTGCCTCAACCAACTATGCTACCGTGTGCCCCCAGGACAGCCCTCACGCTTCTAATAATTATGTTAGTTCATCTGATGAAGCAAAGTGTATCTAATGTAGACAGTCATTTAAATGAGGGGCATAACAGTCCTAGAAGTGCATAATCTCCCCAGCTGTAACGAAAATCTTCATAGTTGCAAACGCTTACAGAATCGCATATAAAAATAATCTTTCAAATGACCCTACATATCTGATTTTCTTGCTCTTACCTTTAAAGACATTGAGTTCATCAATGTCATCCGGGTCAATTTTTTCTAATTCTTCAGCATCCTCATCACCATCTTCTAGCTTGTCTTGTTTTTCTTCATCTTCACTTTCCTCATCAGAACTTGGAGGAGGACGTATATTTCGGCGGGAACGTCCTCTGCGTCTTGCTACTACTGGCTGCTGATGTGAAGTTTTCTTCGGCTGCAGCATTTTTCTCCTCCTCATATGATGCACAAGACGATCATTGATACTACCACGCTTTGATTCTCTTAAAGGTGGTAATCGAGGTAACTCTGAAATGTATAGAATATCTGTATATCTTGCACAACTCCTGTTTCTCTCACAGAGCATGTATGTCCAGTCTGAAGGATTATGCAACAATAAGTATACAGTTCCTGGAATGAGTAATTCTTTTTGTGGTGAAGCCTTCTGAAAGATTACAATATAGTTTTAAAATACTATACAAGATTGCGACAAAATGTGTATTCCCATATATTTTTCACCAGACACACGGAGTAACAGAATATTTTGAATAAGCAGTCATGGATTGTCAGCTAGGGTATTGGGTAGTGAGTTAACTCTCCCTCAACATAAAATTAGTAGCATATTTTGAAATGTCACAAAAGGTTGTGCCTGAATTTAACTAGCTCAAGACAGGATCCAGTGATGGATGATTGTGATCGTGGTAAAAAATCCTTGCATTCCATAAGAAAGGTGGGAGGATTTCTTGATTAGCTGAGTGACTATGAACTTCTCAAGAAAAACTCCATTCTACTGAGAATCAACCATTTTTGCCTTAAATGTTGCTGATTTATTTGTTGATTTGTTTTAGTGACTCAGACTATACAGCTTTGAATGACTGGATGAAAGGGACTAAAGAATTATAATTCATTAATAATTATTAAGGATGTGGAAGGAAGTGGTCATGGCTCTATCTGAAGTATTCAGGACTGAGTAAGGCTATACAGTATCTCAGTGGGGACAGTCTAATAAGTTTATGAAACATCCCAGATCTTAATAGTAAAACTGCATATTTGTCTGTTTACACAGATATTCATTCAACTTGAGAAAGGCCAGTCTTATCTACTCCAAACTTATCAATATTTCTGAATTCTGCATGAGAAATTTGTGTACTGACAGTCCACTGCATTCAATTCCATTCCTCAGCAGATGAGTTGGTTATAAAGCCTTGCTTTAAGTCTACTAACAACATAAATCTAAATTCAATTACCTGATATACCATTACACAGCATAGCAGATACTAAAATGTATTACTCGGACCTATGAAGACCCATGAATGTACTTATAGGAAACCAATGCAACTCTCAAGTTTCCTCTTCTGTTGTAATGTTAACAATGAATTCACATATTATGTTGCCTGCAAGTGCCCTCATAGGCACCAACTAAGAGCATAACATAAATACAATTAACTCACCGATGCTCCAAAACAGTGATAATAAACCATTACTAACATCTATATCTGCAATGATATACTACACTAAACTCGTCAGAGGGCTTACAGGACAATGGATAATATCCAGAAACAATATTTGTACTAATTTACCATCATCACAAACTTTTAGGGCTTCCCTGGGCTGAACTCAAATTACTATGCAAAATGAAATATCTGTTTATAATGCACATTTTTAAAAAAATGTAATAGCAATGATAATATATAAACTACAAAAACCTGTTTCGGGTATGCAAAAATGGCTGATTCACTAAAATAACACATTTCCAACACAGAGATGACATACTGTAGTTCTGTATACATAATGAACTCATTTCTTGCACTCACCAGGTATACTCTGATCATCATCAGTACTATTGACTTTAGGATCAACATGATTATCACCATCCGATTCTAGAGTGACATCTAAAGGAAGCTCCATTAATTCATCCTTAATTTCAACATCATCAGGGTCATTTTTTACATGAAATCCGTCTTCATTCTTTGTTTCTGTAACCTTTCATAACAAAATAAAACACTCATTATTAAGTAAACCTATTTGATGTGACTAAATAAAAATAAAATAAAACGTTAACTGTAAATAACACACCAGTGGTCCTGAAGACACATTCGTGCTCTTCATTTGAATAAGAAGCTCTAAGGTATGTTGTACTCGGTTGGCTCTTTCAGCAAATTTATGATAGTCTTCTAATCGTGCACGACAAGGCCTGCAGACCTTTTTTGGCAACATATCATCTTTAGAAACCTGAAATAAAGAAATGAAGATATTTCTGTTTTACGCTATTTCCAACATTACGAATGTTATTCTTTCTGACAGTTCTTGTGTGAATGATTCTGAAAATTTTCCACATCATCTAATTATAAATTTACGTTGCACTGTGGGGAGAAAGCTTTATTAAATCCAATATCTCTGGAGGGAGTATAGTAAATGACACAACAAAGTCTATAAGCATTGAGCATAGGTAACATCTGTTCTCACTTCTATTCGTAAACACTGTATGATTTTCTCTTCAAGACACAAATTAACGCCTTCTGTACTATATATAACAACACCATTCTTCGCTTCTACGGCACAAAGCCGACAAAAGTCTGCAATGGTCTTCTCCGAAGGAGCCATTTTCTTTTTAAGCTTGACTCCAGCATCACCTGTAATTCATTGGCTGAACTACTGCAAACACAACAGACTCAAACTTCGTGCACGGGTAGTTTCTGGTTATGTGGTACGGAACGGTAGGAAATGAATGTGGTAGAAGTTAAAGCTTTTATATTGTATGTAAAGTACTCATAAACGTTACGCTTGTAGTCAATCGTACCTATGCGCATTCTCTCTCCGCTTAGATCTTTACATTTGCGATAGTACTGAATACATTAATAAAACTGTGAGTAAATCGCTTTCATTCCAGTTTATTAAAACTTTACTTGCCGACAATGAAATTGCCAAGCCGAATTAATACAAGCAACGTGAACTGTGTGTGTCCAGAGTTGAAGCGTGGTAACAAAGCAGGGAGCGCGCAAACTTTGATTTCTAGACACGCGATTAACAAGTAATAATTTTTTAACATTTTCCGAGTTTTCATGTGTATTTTCTTCGTATTATATTTAAGTTTACTGTCCGGTTATAGGCGGTCGTTTTAGGTCTGCTACACAGCTTCAATCCCTTCATCTTCCTACCTTGAAAAACAAGTACCCTGAAAAAAAAATCGTTTAGCTGTTAAAAAAAAGACCAGTGAGTATGTTCCCATTAAGTAAGCAGCTGTAAATTAAGTTCATCGCAGTTTCCTGATGCTTGGCTTTAAATTGCGAATTACTAACAGACGTCTTTACAGGATTTGTCTTACGTCTAATAACGTCGTGCATGTTTTAAGCTACGTGGCCATGGACCATGTTTCTAACTTTTAATTCGGGCACTGGAAAATTGGCTTAAGAACAGCTCTAGACAAGCATTGCTAGGGAAGCAAAATTTAAGTCAGTAAAAAAGGGGGGGGGGCAACACTGCCCGCACAAGAGGCATGCTCGAATATCAAATTTTATTCATTGATATTTGCACATGTGTTTAAAAATGGAAATGTGAATACTAATTCTGTCATGCACAACGTTTGCAAGAAATCTCGTCTAGTCTGGTGAATTATGTGTAAGAATGTATTTAGCTTTGTATGTAATATTGCAATCCATATTGTCTAATTTGGCCGAATATTTAATTTGTTGTTATTTACTTTAGTGCGGGCTTGAAAAATTGCCTTAATAGAACGAATACCCTGTTATCAGGAAGATGAGTGGAATGGGTGACTGCTCACTTTCCCTGTCTTGAACTTGTGAATTGATTGTCGCGAAACTTTGTATGATGGTCTGCGTTTCAGGGACGCCGATGTTGTGCTGCCTGTCCGTCAAGCAATACAGAGAAACAGGTGAGTCCGCTTTGTTTCACAGCAAACACCGACAACGTGTAACAGAAGATTCAAGAAATATATGACGTAACATCTACTTAAATATAAAGAAAGCAGTCTTCTGGGATTTGGCACCGTGTATATGTGTTAACCGACGTTTCGGAGGAACGTATCGCCTCCATCTTCAGTCTGCTTCAGTCAGCAGTCTGCTTTTACCGTTCTCACGGTCTTGTCGCTTGCAGATTTCTTATACTTTTTCTTCTACCCTGAAGATGGAGGCGATACGTTCCTCCGAAACGTCGGTTAACACCACATATACACGGTGCCAAATCCCAGAAGACTGCTTTCTTCATAGTCACCGCCGTGAAAGCCTCAAATCATACATACTTAAATATATGTCTTCATTTCGTTATCACATTAATAACAATAATACATTTTAGTCAGGTATGTGCAGTTTGTTATTGTCACGTATATGAGTGACTATAGACGGGGTTTCGATTGGTAATTCGATTTATTGCACATTTTTACAACCCATTACTACGTTATACAAATCGCTATAGGACACACTAGGTCTTCTCCATCTATTGCAGTCTTTACTAGTCGTTCCTTGGTGGCGGCTTCCAACGGCGGTCGTTCCCATTCCTCTGGGTTCCCGTACTATCCCTGGCCTCAGCTGCCAGCTCTAACAGCAGCAACCTACAAAGACTGAACTGCAGCGGTCCTCTATCTAACTCACTCCTAACTTGTCCTACTTATAATATCTTGGCACGGACCGCACAGAAAACACAGTTCGTCTGTTGCTGATTACGGGCCGCTGCCTAATAACGACCGCTATGTAGTTTCTTATTTCGCGGTCGTTGCCTAGCAACGGGTCTACATGCCACAATATGTTAAAATGTCGTCTACTGATAATATCAGCATTGTGGCATGTAAAATTTGGAACATCTTCAAGTCAAAGTCAAAGTCACATTGCGACTGACGGTCGGTCAGTCTCTGACTCTTGGTGTCGACCAGATATTTATTTCTTATGTGAAAGTTACTGTCCTGTTTATTTGGGGCGCCCTCTCTGACGAGAGGTCGGGGTCTGTCATTTGTCAGTCATAATCTGTGTTAGTAAGTCCATTGTCAGTATTTGGAACATCTTGAAAAGTATTTGGCCTTTGAAATAAAGTCAGAATTGCACTTTCCTTTGAGAGCAGGGCATATGAACCGCTTGGCAATAAATTGATAGTAAAGAAGACTGTTTAGCTCTCCTTTTAGTCAACATCTTTGATTCGTGGTTTATTTAATGCCGTTTCATCAATTACATAAGTTATATAGCTTCGAATTATACGATGATCGTTAATGATGAACTGGGAAGAATACAAGAAAGTGTTGTCACCTATTTCAAGGTAACCGTTTCATGAATTTCTTTGAACAACGGAGTTGAACTACAAAACCCTCAGATTTACCTGCATCGGAACTGATATTTGAACACGAGACCTCTCATGTACAAATCAAGAATGCTAAAGATAAAAATTCCACTCGCCAGACATTTCCCCACATGAGACCGCTTCGCCGTTGTAATTGCTCCTGAGTATAGTCTACTTACCGCATGCAAGGCATACAGAATACTGTACGATATATTCCATCCAACATCTTTAGACATAAAAAATAACAGGAGAATGTCGTTAAATAACACGGGAAAAAACAATAAGTAGGCTAACTTTTCCGCCTCGCACGGGTCGAATATTAAATAAGTCATAAGTCCTTATACTGAAGTTTAATTGTACGAGTACCTAAAACTTTTCTGCAATTGTTTCAAGTATTTTCTTGAAGTTAACATTAAATTATTGAAGGAAAGTTATTCGTTTAATAACATCATAATAAGAACAGATTCTCTATTATTCGTTGTCCATGTTTGACATCACTGTCTTTAGAAGTGACAAGGTAGAGCCCTGACACTAAAAAAAATCGCTCCCCTGGGCCTCCCTGGACCGCCCTGCCTCCGCGATTGGTCTTGGACATTAGAGATAACTTTCGCGCTCTCGTGTTTTTACTCAGATACTATGTACCATACCTCCATTATCCATGGGTTAGAAGTAGAGATTAGAGGAATCTTTATAGCCTTAGTTGGACTATTTCATTATTATAAATAATAACTAGAATTAATGCTTCGAAATTTCAGCAGGAAATCCTAGAGATTATCAATATCATTCTTGATGACACTTTACTGAATTTACTATGATTCGCTGTTGTAATTATAGCTCTTGAGGAATACTTAGAGATCACCATGTCACTTAATATGCACTCTGTGAGCTTGAAACTTCTGGAGAGAGAGCTGTATTTGTATTAACACTACGACATGCCGCACCATCTATTATCAGATCCTGTAGTCAGCGCACATGCAGTCCGTCAGGTTCCGCTCCCCCGAACTCCTTGCAACTGACTAGAGAGTGGACATCAGATTATTTTATTACAGGGAGGAGGGAAGGAACGATATAGAACATTTTCGAATTCTGACCATTTACGTACTGTCAGTAATGACAGCCGATACTAATCTGTGACAGTTCACAACTCGCCTCTCTTCCTCATGATTCATTTTTCATCGATAAGATAGTTGCTACTTCTGTACATGTCAGGGTTACAAGTACGTGTTCGACTGATATGTCGCAGTCGGTTTATATAGGTTCAGAATAATGCCTCCCATCTTCTTTCTTATTGACTTGAAATGAGTATTTCCCAGTAGCACACAGCATATTAGCTCAACCGATAATGATTTTTAGGGACAAGTACAGGTTCCGATATTGGCTGTGAGACCCACTATTCCGCCTGGACTTTTCATATTTCTTTCAATTGTTTCAGGCAAAAGTTGGCACTAACCTCGCTGACAATCGGCGGTCGCTCGGTCGGTATAGTTCGCTTATAGACTACAGGCCTCGGAGTTTGTTTTTGTTTCTTTTTATGTCAGGACAGTTCCTTCAAAGAGACACGATTGATTTCTACTCAGTCTTCTCACTGTGCACAACCGTCGTCTCGTCTCAGACGTTGTGTAAGCTCTGCAATTGATACAGTATTTTTAGCGAGCCAGCTTTGCTTGTAGAGCACCGTAGAATGTCTCAAGGAACATCCTAAGAAGAGTCGGTTCCTGTGTGACTAGAACCACTCTAGACACTAATCAGTGTATTTCTCACTTAACTCTACGGGCTGCTTGAATAGATCAAGGTAGATTTCTTCATTGGATTTTGCCTAAAATACTATGCACTTCATGAAATTCAAAGCTAAGTAGCATTTAAGAAAATAAATTATATATCACCTTAACCACAATACCACATCTTCAGACTAGAAAAAAACATCCTAAATACCAAGTAAATTGGCTCAAACGGTAACGGCTCTGCTTTGTGTTCAGGAAGTGCCTGGTTCGATACCCAGCCAGGACACCGATTATCCTGACTGAGATTTCTTATGGTTTTCCTCGGTTCCTGCAGGAAAATGCCGAGATTTTACCTTAAATTAGGCCACTACCGTTTCACACCAAAACCTTTCAAATTCATTATTCATCAGTCCCACCATTCGACACAATGTCTGGGATAGCGACAGTATCCTAAAATAAACTACAAACTTCAGTTATTCAGTATAGAGGGGGTGGGTTTCCCCATGCACCGCGACTAATAGTCTATTGTACGTCCCCCTTTAATTTCTACTGTCGCCATACGCTACCGATACTGGTGCCGGCTATCTCCCCTTTCTGCCAGCGAGGTCGGCCCTCTACTGGCATTGGTACCCGATAACTTCCCCATCTACCGGAGGCATTGGAAACTATTTGGGC